CTTTGGGAGTGCTGTCAGTCTTCTAAGGGGAATGTGAGTCTCTGACAGACGTATGTCTTCAGCTTTGAATCTTGGAGTATGTGCATGTGCTGTGCGTGCCTTTCTTTTCCATGTAGACTTCTTTTGTCAGTGGCTGGTCCCCATAGTTGGAAAGGAAAGCAGGGAGTTTATAACAAAGCTGAGTGTTGCTTTTAACAGATTACTAATGTTATTTGAGATTTGATTTTTAAAGCCAATTTGGGTACAAGTGCTGCAGTTGCTTGGGCATTACAGTGGAAACCTATCTTAAGAGACATCATTATAAACACCTTTATCAACACCTTATTTCTGTCATGTTTCTGATGAAGTTCCGTGACTTCAGACTCCCACTTGCTGACAGGGGTAGCCAGTCTGTTTTTTAGCCACTTGGAGGGAGCCACTGGGGCTTAGCAGCTGTCCCCACTGTGGGAGACAAGCAGCAGATGCCTCGCAGAAGCTGGGTGACTCCAGGTGCTCCAGTGGCAACTAGGCTTACAGCAGGTTCATTGGTCTGACCAGAATCTGTAAGTTGCATTAAAAAGCTTCTTGTTTTTTCAGATTATCCCAGGATGTTGACACAGGAAAACTCTAAGCCACTTTCTAATCAGTTACCTAGAGTATAATGGATAATTAGAGAATTAAGCCTAGTGAGGATGACAAATCTATTGTTGTTTTTCTTACCTAGCCAGGGTTCTCAACTAGCATTGCAGGGAAGAGAACTTGCTAATCATTTCAAGACTGAAGGAACTCCAGTTATGATTGGTAAGTGCTTGAGTATCGAAGAATGCTGATGAAAGTGCGTGGCCTCCCTATGCTGAATTTCATTTCAGTTAGAACTCATTCAGTTTCCTGTACAAGAGTTAATAAAAACTCTAGATGAATTAAAAATTATACTTTTCCTAGGGGAACCTGACAAACAATACAGTTTAGTCTGGCTGGTATCTTTTCACTCAGTATTTCTCCCAAGCTCAGTATTAATTAACCTGGTAACAAAAGTCAATCTAAATGGTGTTCTTAACACCTGATGTTGAAGTCAGAACTCGAGAGTTGACTTCCAGTCTCTAGAGTAGCAGAAGTTCGTATGGTTCCCCAAAACTTCCTGTCACAGAAGAGCTGTGTTTATCTGGCTTTGAAGAGAACGGTATTACTATGTTCTTTTTAAGACCAGTTTTAATAACTTGAAATGTTGGTAACCTAAGAAATGTCATTCGTAAGAATGCCCTAACTTTAATCAAACTGTTTCCAAGACAGCTATGATTTAGAAAATGAAGAATATTGAAAATATAATTTTCAGCTTTAATAACATTTTGTCAATTTTCACAATCCGTATTGGGCACTCCATAAAGATAGTGTTAGCCACTCAAATTAGAGGTGCCAGAAGTCCAAATTTTGGTATGAAATATTCTTGGCCTTTCAGCAGCCTTTTTGTCTGAATTTCAAGAATTTAGAATCCTATATTGAAAACTTTTAGTCTGTAACTTATCCTTCCCTGTAATGCTCTTTGTGGATTGGTTTAAATTTTGTTGTTGATGGGAGGGCAGAGGTTGGCTTTTTGGGGTGGGTTTTGGGTTGTTTTTTTTTTTTTTGCTTGTGTTCTCTTGGTGTTTTTGCAATTCCTGTTTGTTGCATGTATCCCAAGGAGGTAAACTCCTCACGATTGCTGAAAGAAACATGCTGTGGCCAGCTCATCAAAATATCCCCTTTCCCTGTTTGCAGGCTAGAGAAAGGGCGGTTGGAGATTGCTACTCTGCCCCTAATATCCATCGATAGAACTTAGTAGAAAACAGCAGATAACCCTTATCCAGAAATTCTGATTTCTGTTCTAATTTTAGTCCTTTTACAACCAGGAAGTTTTCCAGATTCCTTTTCTACATTTAAGTTTCTTTAAAGACAAAGTGAGCAAAACCGATGTTTGAAATATTCTTGACTTCATCTGGTGGAAGTGCTGAGGATTTAACCTGCCTTGCTGACATGGAGGAAATTTGGAAAGTAAATTCTGTAGCTGTAGTAAGTAAAGTAAAATAAGTAATCTTCCCTAGTCGTAGTAAAGATATGTTGTTTAACAATGTGGAGAATCTTATGTAGGACAGCTTCAGAACCATTTTGGTAACCAAGCTAATACGTTCATAGAAGGTGTTGATGTACTTTTATTTTAGGCTTGCACATTTAGCCAATCCCGGTGAAAAATTTTTAGCAATTTGTGTTCCTCCTATTTCAGGTGGAGGTGTTCTGGCTCACACGATATTAGGAGTGGCTTGGAATGAGATTACAGGGAACATAAAATATTTGATTCTAGACCCACATTACACTGGAGGAGAAGATCTGCATGTTATTTTGGAAAAGGTGAGGCTTGATGCACACACACACACATATACACACACACATGTGAATGTATATACATATATCTTGGAATTAAACAAATAGTGTACAGCCAAATACAAATTGGCCCTTGTGTGGCTTCTCCATTCCTTACGAAGGAAGTGCTGGTCCCAGTTAACCTGCATATATGCTACTTATTGTTAGTTTCTGAAACTTAAGTGTCTTTGGAGAAGATGTATTGGGTCAGCAACTACATAAAGTTATTATAGTACAAAGAAATGTTCTTTCTGTGAATTGAACCATCTCCCCTTATATCTAGTGGTATAAACAATAAATGAATTTGGTATTTTGAATGGAACAGAAAGATCTGTTCAGCCTGTAAAATGCCATTACTGAAGCAGTTAAGATAACCATTTATTTAAAATTTAAAAAATAATAATAAAAAAAAAAAAAAATCCAACACCAGGCATTCTCAGATCAGGCCTTGAACTAAGTTTAAAGGGCGGGTACTGAGCTGTTTTGAAAATCTGGGAAAACTCTGAAGAACTAAAGTGTATGTAATGTTATTTCCATATTTAAAGCTATTAAAAGGGATGATGTAGCACATTACAAAACAGTAAGCATAGTGTCAGAAACTTAAACTGTGAAAGTGGCTAAAACATCCTATAGGTAAGTCATCAATTTCTTTTTCTGTTCTTCCTATTAAGTTGCAAATAGCAACTTTTATTTCATGTCTTTATTTGATACCTGTGGGTTGGGTGCAACCAGAAGGGCTGTTGAAACATTTTGCTGACCCCGTAACAATCAAAGCTTGAAATGAATACAGAAAGAAACTATTTCCAAAGAACATGCAGAACCAAAGGCCTTACAGCTCGACGGTGTTCAGGAATGGTCCAGGAGGATAAAAATCCATGCAGGACTCCCTTTCCTCAGCAAAAGTGGCAGGGGAGGGCAGGAACCAAGGTGGACTGTGAAGTTGGTAGCTCTCTCCTTGGAGAACACCTCAGATAATTATGCAGTACCCTGTAAACTTAAGAGCTTTGTTAGACTGTTTTTCTGCTAAATCATGATTATCAGCACACCTTCTGATATTCAGAGCTCTGTTTGGCTTTGAAATAGCAGCTCTTGCCAAAGGTAGCAAGGATTCTTCAAGACAAGAGAAATGGCAACTGTGAGAATGATAGTTTCAGAATAATAGTAGTTTCTGTAGCGGGAAGGGCTGGGGTGGGGAGAGAGATGCTGCTTTTTAGGAACTGAGCTGGGGTGGGGAGAGAGACTCTGTAAAATGTTGTCCATTTATGTGTTTCCAGGCATGTAGAGAACTTTCTGAAAATTGTGTGTCATTGCATTCTATAGATATTTGAAAAGAATTCATACATTTTTAGATTAAAAATAATAAAACTGATCCAGTAGTAGTAGGAAAACCAGAATTTGTAGTAGATTTAAGCACCATCTTACTTTTTCTTGGACAGGGCTGGTGTGGATGGAAGGGCCCGGAGTTTTGGAACAAGGACGCCTATTATAATCTCTGCCTACCTCAGCGACCAAAAGCTATTTAAATTCCACTCTTATGCTGGAATATCCTAAGCCAGAATACTAGCTGATCTAGTTATAACTGTCTTGTTACTTAGCAGAATAATGCTTTAACTCAGTCAAAACCTAGTTGAAATAGAAATGTTGCTTGAGTAATTTTTTTTTTTAATGAAACCTCTAAAAAAAAAAAAGAGTTATCTACTGTGAACTGTATTTCTTACAAATCCATTTATTAAGTAACTAATACTCTTTTCTTTTGGCTAGGACAACTTTATATAGCATTTTTTATTATGCAAAGATCTTTACAGATGAAATACCCCATCCTTTTCTTTTATGGAATTCTTTCTTGCCAAAAGATGAGCTGTCCTGTACCTTTCAGGTTGCATATAGCCAGGTGTGTTGTACATTACGAATCTGATCAAAGGCATCGTTTGCAGCTGGTACTGTTGATAACAGCATTTTAGAAGAGGAGTGGGAGAAAAATGACTGTATGTGCTGAATTTTATGAACTTTGTCCTCATATTTATGCAGAAAAAAATGTGAGAGAATTAATGATTATCCTCATTTATTTATAGCTGTATGAATACAACTATTCGGGGCGGGGGGGGGAAGTCTTCTGTAAGAAGTAAAAATAAACCAGCTTTCCTCCTTCTCGGAAGGCAACAATGTACCAGCATCCATCTAGCTGCTCAAGGTGTAGTCCAGTCATGCTTCTTCATACTTCGGATACCCCTTGATTTCATTTTGGGATTACAAACCGCTGCTTTTGTCAGCTAGGAGACAAGATCTGTCATATGAACAAACAAGAGTAAGTCTGTATCTGACGCCATCAAAACATTAGGATACACCTGTGGAGGTAGTAAAGATGCTGTCTTTGTGAGCTACTCCATCAGTAAAAGTACCTACCATTTTGGTTTTTATTTCCCTCGTGTTAAAGTAACCTTTTTAGTGGCATTCCCCAAACACTACGCATTTTTTTTACAAGACCATAGCCTTAACTGCCTATGCAAGTTAATCCTTACTAGCAGTCTTCTAAATCCAACTGCTATCTAACACGAAGTTTATTGACTTAATTGCCAAAAGCATTTAAAAATATGAAAAATATTCTGGATTGTAGTTAGCTAATGGTATTACACACCATCTGCTCGTCTCCTCTTCCTGCTTATGGATCTGCTAGTTTCACTTTCTGGTTTCTGTGCAGCTGGATCCTCTCTGGGCAAGCTGCGTCTGTCACTCAGTGAGGATCCGGACTGGCCTCTCAGTTTCATTGTCTGAGTGTGCTGAATTGTTGTGAGGAACTTGGCACATTCCAGAAAACCGTAAGCCAGCGCGAGGTCTGCTGCTGTTTGTCCACTGTTGTTGCACAAGCTGAAATGCAGAATTAACAAGAACCATTCAATTAAATTGTAGTATATATTATGAGCAAGCACTGGTCAAGATTAACTAACTGGTAGCTTTAGACAGAAGTATAAAGAATCAACACCAAGAAGGCTTGTCAGGGATAAGTGTGGGGATCTTCTGATACAGAGGGCTGGTACTGAATGCAACAAGGAGTAATTATTTTAAAATAAATTTGTCACCAGTCTATGACCACCATAGCCTATCAGAAAGGCAAAAGGAAGGTGAGCACAGCTTTAGTCAGAATTGTAAACTAACAGAAGGAGAACTTCTGATGGGGAATATTCTCTTAGCGGTTACTATGGAGGTCTTTAACATGGACCTAAACAACGTACGCTCTATGCTACTTTGGTGTGTAGGGCAGTTTTTAATACTGCTCTTATGACTATAGTCATGCTATATTTACAGTCTTAGCATGCACACTCTGAAGAAGAAAAACAACTATGTAAGATACATGTATCCATGGTCACTGTTACTGAAATGACTAAATGTAGCTCAACTTACTCAATTTTGGCATCACCAGCAACAAGGAGAGCAAGACATTCCAAACTCCCAACTTTTGCTGCTTTATGTATCGGGGCTTCTCCAAGGCAATCCTAAACATACAATTTATATATAGCAGTCATTTGAAGGAAGGGCAATAGGATGAAGCTATCTTGTTCTCCAACATGACTGTTTATGGAGTGTTACTCTGCACACTAGCTTGTTGTGAGTTGAGAGAGAGATTAAAGGAATACATTCATTAGCTGCCATTAAATGTTCAGTATGTTCATCACAGCGAAGTAGAAATACTGCCCCATGCAATACTCATTGTTTAACCTTTACCTTCTAAAAGATTATTTACACAGCATACACTCTGCACACCTGCACACCTGAGGGATTGCTGTGACCAACAGCTTGCTGCTACCAACTCAGAGATACAAGCAAATTAAACTTTGCAGCTAGAGGAAAAATCCTTATCTTTACTGGAAGTAGTGGCAAAATTTCAGAGGAAAAAGGAATACTCATTTGTGTAAGAGAATTAAGTTTTCTTTTACATTGCATGGAGCACTCTTAAGTGTGAAATTCAAATATATGTATCAAATTAAATAGCTAATGCAATATAGATAGGATTTCTGGTTCATGCTAAAATAAAGTTACTCTAAAATAAGCAACCCTAGATACCTCGTGCAATACAACTGTGTATATAAAAGCTCTCTTAGATTAAAAAAATGTAAATAATAGTAATTGGATTTCCTGACATGCCAGATTAGAAGTGGGAGAAACAAAACTTCTCTATTTTTACCTGTTGGTTCAAATTTGCTCCTGTCTGCAGCTGCCAAAGTAGTAAAAAAGCTTCACCACCACAAGCAGCCAAGTGAGCTGGAGACTGACCAAAGGCATCTGCAGGTGCGTTCACAGCGGTTCCTGCTTCGAACAGGTTGCTGAAACTACCAGACTAAGATAAACAAGATACCAAGAAAAACAGCAAAAGCACAATGTTATTGCCAGTCTAAGCCACACCGAGGCTTCAGAACGCTGCATCACGGCAGAAAACATCCCCCTCGCGAATCATCGGACCCTTACGTTCCTTGAGAATGCTCATTTAAAAAAAAAAAAAAACAATCCGCGCATGACTTTTTTGGCTTTTAATCTCTTAACCAGAACTCCTCACCGACACCGGCAGTGCCCCAACATATCCCGCAGCAGCTCCACGCAAACCACGCTTCATACAGCTCCGCAGCGGGGCTCCCGCTGAGAAGCGACAGCAGCCCGGCCCTCCCCGACCCTCACCTCTGAAGTGCAATCCAGC